TTTCTGGGTCAGGGGGTGGCAGTCAGAGATGCCACCCAAGTCTCATAGCACCAGCCCCTCACTGACCCTCTGCAGGTGGTGAGTCCACAGGAGGACAGCTACTCTCTGAGTGTGAGCATAGCCTTGATCTTTCAGTGGGGTTTTTAACTAGTTCTCGCTGAAAGTTGACATTGTTAGCTAAGAACTACTACTTTTGAGTTCATTTTAATTACTAAAGCCAAAAATCCTTTTTTGTGAGTGCTCGCATTACTCGCTTGGTGCTGAAAGACCCATGTGCGCGGGGATTCTCGCGATACTGCAGACTAAACAAGAGTAAATTCACGTGGACTACCCATAAATCTTCCCCATAGAACTGGTATGGTATGGTTTTTATTTTTACAGGGACAGTGTACAATAAACATTAGCCAGAAGGAGAGATGCATTGTACCAGGTTATAGCAGCAGTGGTAATTTACACCTGTAGTCCCTGAGCAGGTTGTTGTAAAACAGTAAAATAAAAGTAGATGGATACATTACATTAACTCAATGTATAGTCATACAGCTCGACCTCAGCTGGCATCTCCAGCTTTCATAAAGGTCAGATTTTGTGGGGATTTTAGTGTCCTTTGTCATCCTGAATTTGTTCCCTCTTAAATCCTTTGTTTTTCTTGAAATCTACACTTTAGGGCCACAAACGCTGCTCGTTTGGCTCCCGTTCTAACTACCGCGCTTGTTCTGCTCTGAAAAAATTGTGAGTAGGTCCTGTTGAAAACGGTACTGTCAATCTGATTGGGATGAAGTCGGTGGCTAGCAATCACCAAGCTCACTGCACGCACATGTGTGCTTTCGGATCCACAAAAAAATCAACCTGCTCTAGGACAACCATATCGCTGTCTGCTCCTACCACCGACTAGAGCTCCAGTGTTTACAGTGTAGGAGAAGCCCTCTCCTCACCCCCCGTGAGGGTGTCAACCATAACTCCATGGTGTCAACGCCAATCAAGGACTATCTCGGTTCAGAGTGCTGACCGTGGGACTCGAACCCCAGACTCCCGAACCGCGGTTTACATTGGCGGGTTGACCCGTGTTACCCACGTCGCCGTGGCGATCAACCGTTTAAATGCGGGTCGGATGTTATATTTAAAGCTGATTTGCATTGTAGGTGGAAATTACGGCGCCCCGATGCGAAACTTCAATTACTTTTATCTTTTGACCACAGAGAAAATGTATGACGCACTCACTGACAACTTCCACTGGGCTAAATTAAAATCCTTCATTTCTTTTTTTAACGTTGGCGTCTCTGACGTGTGTGCCGTGGCCGTGGCAACGCAGAGTTTGATTTCATCTGCTACTTTGGCACAACCATGTCGGTTATGGTTAGTAAAAAAAAATACTAAATGTTTAAAATCATTTCTTTGGTCATATTGCTCTATTCATTGTTGCTCACGTATTTTGCTTGCTATGCACAAAACTATAATTACGCACATTGCACGGACCAGGAGATTGAGACCATTATGAACGAAGTGGGAAAAAGAATAAAGTCTTACTATTTGGAATTCTCAAAAGTGGCATCAAGGGTGTGTGTGTCATGTGACTGTTAAAGACACATGTGTGTGTCATGTGACTGTTATAGACACATGTGTGTGTCATGTGACTGTTAAAGACACATGTGTGTGTCATGTGACTGTTATAGACACATGTGTGTGTCATGTGACTGTTATAGACACATGTGTGTGTCATGTGACTGTTATAGACACATGTGTGTGTCATGTGACTGTTATAGACACATGTGTGTGTCATGTGACTGTTAAAGACACATGTGTGTGTCATGTGACTGTTATAGACACATGTGTGTGTCATGTGACCCAGGACTGAGGCTGTAGATCCAGGACTGAGGCTGTAGACCCAGGACTGAGGCTGTGCTGCTGTGACCTAAAATGCAGTTGCATTTTAATACTATTGTTAGCTATTTTTCTAATTATCTATGTATTAGTTTTGTTTAGGGCTTCTCCTACACTGGTCCGCTCTCGGCCAATCAGAGACGAGTCTCTGTTAAAAACGGGCTGCGCTTGGTCGGTCACCAGTCACAGTTAATGTGAAGCCGATTCAGACAGTGACATGGCATATCTTCTAACTACAGTGGGCAGTGCACACTTGGATCTTCAGACGCACTCCGAGTCAGCACCGTGCGGAGAAAAACACAAGTTGTGAACTATTGCTAACAAGTTGAAGGGCAGTAACTCTGCTATTTTAAGCGAGGAATGAGCATATAGGAAATTAGGAATAAATCGCACTAAAACCATAAAGTGTACACTATGGCTACAACTGAGGGCCACCTTAGCATAATAGTTGAATAGAATAGAACAATGAATAGAGGCCAAATTTCCATGTCAATATGCTATTCATTTCAAAATCTTGTAATTTGCAATATATAAAGACATTGTATCGACACTTTACATATTGAATTGCCATTAGAACTTTTGGAATAGAACATTAAATGTCAAAATTGGATATAACATTACACTTTGACAAATACAAAATAAATACTAAAATAACATAATGCATAGCCATTTGACAAATGAATAGACAATTGAATTAAGGTGCCAATAGTCTTCCATAAAAGTATACCTTACCTGAATATTGCAATACCATCCTGTCCTCCTACTCTGACACAAACTACCACTTAAAAGAGCGATATGTAAAAATCTGGCCAAAAGTGGTACTGCAGCCTCTCCCACTCTCTCTGACACAGGTTGCCAGATATGCGACCTGTGATACGAATCTAGCGTGAACCATAACATTTAACTAGATTTATCAACTACAATTTTTTAACCAACACCTTTTTCACAAATCCTTTTTTTATTCCTAGTTTTGTTGTTAATGATTTGATTTAATCATAACAAGGCCTTTTTTTTAGTTCTGCGACCACATGTTCCTTTACCTGTGAGATTAGCTGGACGGGGTGAGTTCTGGCAACCTGGATCACTGACTCTCTGATTGGTAAAACAGTGGAGGGCAGGACATTGAAATGAAAACAAAAACAAGATTTAGGAGCTGTACAATTAATTTTTAAGTTGGAATATCTCGGCTGAACTACGGTTATCAGTTAAAGAAGTATTTGATAAGAGCATGGTTTATTAATACCTTTTGACAGATTAGGGCCCTTTAATGATGACTTGACTTGAAATCTTACATATTGCTACTTTAACTATAGCCAACTTTATAGCAAAGTTTACACAAGTCTTGGTTAAAATTCCACAGGGAAGAAGAGGGGATAGCAGTCCATCTTTAAATACTATTTCCAGTTTTGCTTTTGTTTCTAGGCTTTCAGAGACTTGATAGAAAATGGCCGCCTTCACCCGGACCACACCGACGTCAGAGCGTACGAAGTGGATGATCACGTCTTTCTCGCTCAGGTTTTTCAGACTTTACGAAGACAATTCTATGAACCGAAAAACAACACTGATCATAATATATCCAGCGAACCTGAGCGGCCCGCGGACACAACCACAGCAAAGGGAATGAGGTTCCATGTGTAAAAATGTCACTATCGCCAAACATAGATTGGCAACAAATAAAACATTAATCTAAAACTCTTTCTGTGTTTGACAATTTATCAGCTTCCAATGAGAACTCTGACTCACAGTTTCCCTCAACAGATATTCATGGATTTACTACTTTGACTCCGCCCCAGTCTATTAGCAATAGGACACATGTTTATAGTCTAAACAGATCAGTAGAGGAGTCCTTACATGGAAACTAGCAGTTCATGTGTTTTTTGTGAAGCTTTGATCATAACATTCAATCGTGTTGTGTCCAGTTACAACAGTTATCTATCCGCTTTGTTTTATCAGCTGTTGTTGGTTAAGTCGTACATTCCAACATGAAAACTTGCGGGTTAGGATTAAGAGAACCATATTTGTCCCACAGTGGGGAAAGTGTCAGAGCAGTATACGTTACAGAACAGTAGATATGAGGAGCACACAACACAACAACATAAGTGAATATTAAGTATGGCACAACTTTTTATTTTTTATTCAAGTGCGGCCTTTATGTGGACAAAATGTACTTTATTTTTAAACTGAGCAGGTCTGGTTTATATATACAGTCACATGTAAAGGAGCAGTATGGTCAAATCTGGCCAAAAGTGGTACTGCAACCTGTCACCCTCTCCCTGACTCAGGTTGCCAGAGGTTTGTCAACAACAAATCTATAACCAACACATTTTTCACAAAGGCCCCGAGATAAATTCAAGTTTCATTCCTTGGTTTGTCATTAATAATTTGAGAATCATAACGAGACCTTTATTAGTTCTGCGGCCACATGTTACTTTACCAGTGAGATTAGCTTGACACAGTGAGTTTTGGCAACCCAAATCCGAAGAAGTATTCGAAAAGAGCATGATTTATTAACGCCTTTTGACAGATTAGGGCCATTTAATGATGACTTGACATGAAAATCTTACACATTGCTACTTTGATAGTCCAGCTGGTCCTGTATATACATTTAAGTGCTATTGCTCAGACAATCATTATTTTCATTTCTATCCATACATACTCCTTTTTTACTTACCATTTGAAAGACACAGAGGATTTTATGGAGTTGTGTTGGATCAATATAGACATTCACAACATCAAAGTGTATCAAAGTGATTCACGGATGTCATTTAATACGAGACAAATTCACACTGATTGGTGTAAATTATTACTCTAGAAGCAGTCCCCAACATAATCTTGGAGAGCAAGTAAGTAATCTTTCTACAGACCAAGTCACCCAAAGTGCTTTACAATGTTCAGGTATTGTTTGATTTTCTCCACGCAGTGAGGACGGAAGAGAGACCATTCATTCACTCACTCATTACATTCATACCTTTTGTGCATGTTTTTAGTGTTAGGGGAAACCAGAGCACCCCAAAGAAACCAATGCAGACACAGGGAGAACGTGCAAACTCCACTCAGAAAGGCCCTGTTCCGACCACTCAGCCACTGTGTCGCTCGATGGAATTGGTAGAATTGTTTTTTTTTTACTCCTCAGGTTGATTGTCTTTGTCCTGGCTGTTTTCCTCTGTGTCCATCTCTAAAACTACGTGTCTCTTCTTCAAACTATGATCCAGTTGTAGTTTTTCCTTCCCGCCGGTCGTCCATCCTTGTAGTCCGAGTCTTTTCAGATTCGTCAGACGAGGAAGAGCGCGGAGCAGAGCGGGCAGCCACTCAGAGCAGGCGGCCGCGGTGGAGGCTCTGAGGCTGAGGTCCAGTTCCTCCAGTGAAGGCAGTCCTCCTGAGGCCAGCAGACCGGACCAGCCGCTGGGCCCCACCGAGCTGTTGTAGCAGAGATCCAGGACCCGCAGAGAGGAGAGGAGGCCCCCGCGACTCGCTGCAGCTGAGAGGACAGTGAAGACAAACACACATCATTTTTAAAGGTTTTAGCTCCCAAATGTAAATGACTTTTGAATTTTACTTTGGATTAGAGCAGAGAAAAAGGTCCGAACCAAGCGGCTACTCCACCTCTGCTGCTCTGACCGTCCTGCTCCACCCAGAGGCTACTCCACCTCTGCTGCTCTGACCCGTCCTGCTCCACCCAGAGGCTACTCCACCTCTGCTGCTCTGACCGTCCTGCTCCACCCAGAGGCTACTCCACCTCTTCTACTGTGACCTGAAGGGCTGTCGCTGATTAATTCTATTTTTTCCTTTTTTGAATGATCAATTAATTTTTTTCTTTTTGCAGGTACTGGACACTAGCATTTCTCCTACAGGGATCAATAAAGTATCTTTGTATCTAAAGCCCAAATTCATGGGCTTTATATTTCTGAGATTGTGGGAGTTAAAGCATTAATCGTTGTCCAAAGTGTGTATTATTGTTTATTTCAAGTAAGTAAGTACATAAGTTATCTTTATTTATATACCGCCTTTCACAGACCAGAGTCACAAAGCGGTTTACGATTGTGGGCATTTGTCTCTCACGCCACACAGAGATGGGAGCGGGGTAATATCTCGCATCTATATCTTTCTGTATCCTGTTAGTTTTTGTCTTTCGGTATACAAGTTAACATTCATTATTGTTCTTCTAAACACTGACAAATTGCCATTATTATTACTATTATTATTTTATTTATTTATTTATACTATATACAATTCAATTCAATTCAATACTTTATTTCGGACACAAGAGTAAAAGATCCATACCAGAAGAGATACAAAAAACACATTGTGAAAAAACAAAAATGTAAAAATAGACTTTATTAACAGTCATGCCTATCTCCGCCGTTGAAACTAATGTGCCACCACTTTTGCCGCGCGATGTACAATTAAAAAGCGATCGCTGCATGAGCCCCATTCTGAAGTCCACAGCGGCTAAACCCGACTGGTCCAAGAGCGACTTTAGGGCCATCCTGAAAAGACTTTTTCGAAGAAGACGCTAAACAAAAGCATTGGGTAATTCTCTTTCCAGGTACACCCCCACCGGCTAGGAGTGGCACTGTAAGCATGTCAGCGTAAGTGCTCATGGACCTTTTGGAACCGGGACACGCCCCCGCTGGTTTGTTTGCATATGTGTAGGTCACTGATATTGCCATGAAAAGTAAGAAATGTGGTTGTTGATATTTGAACGTGGAAAGCATCACAGGTCCAAACAACTTGCTAACCTTTCCCACTGCGCTCTTGCATCATTTCAACAAAGCCTATGGATGGGACTAAGCTAACTCATCTTACTGCTGGGATTGTTTTTGTGTTCTAGCATTTGTAAGAAAACTATAAATAAAGTTTGATTTTTTGAAGTTTGGGTGTGTGGCATTGTCGTACCCAGATGTTGGATGTCGTTGGTGGTGAGTTCGCAGCTGCTCAGTCTCAGCTCCTGAATCCCCGACGGCTGAAGAGCGTCGAGAAGCAACGACAGCCGGCCCCCGACCACCTTGCACCACGACAGGTCCACGCAGCGAAGGTACGGCACGGCCAGAGCTGAGACACATTTACAAGAACTCTCAGAAAACTGTGAATACAATGACACATGCTTCGTTACAACAGATCACTCGCTTCACTGTTCTTAAAAGCTGGAGTATTTTTTCATTTATTATAATCCATGTTGAAAATGTGTTTTGAAAATCAGACCATATCATCTCAATCTCTTAGAAAATGTTATTATCTAAACTACGAAAAGCCCTGTGAGTCAGTAGTTGACGTTTTGGGCTGAGAGTTGATAAGCGATGAGCATTCCTGTCTTTCTCACTTTTCCGTCTGAAAAAGCTGATCTAAAGCTGACACACTGCAAAAAAATGAATAAATATGAGGTAATAATTGCTTGAATAGTTTTTAGCTTATTTTGAGTACAATCTGAATATGTTCAAGCAAGATTCTCCAATGGGACAAAGCCATTTACTATTTTCTCATTCAAATGTAGACATTTCTTGTATCTTTTTTAAACAAGATCGTTGCTTTGTCCCATTGGCAAATCTTGTTTCAAGGCAGTCAAAATGTGCTCAAATTAAGATTATTTAGCCAAATTTGAGCATTTTTTAAAACTACATGCATGTGAAAACTAGTTACTGAAGCAAACTGTTTTGAGAGATAGATGGATTTTTTTTTATTGTGAACTAAAAGTTAGGTCCCCCAGCTTTAAATCCCCTCTCTGTTATTCCCCACCAAACTAGAAACCTGTTAAAATCTGTCACAGCAGCAGTTGCCTCAAAGGACTTTACAAAAACAAATCTAAAGTCTGGCCCTGTTTCAGCATTAAGACATTCATCCGGATGCTTGTTGAATAAATAGTAATAATTAGTTGAAAGAAAAGGTGAGTTTGGAGTTTACCCAGAGCGCTGCAGGAGTCTGGGCTGAGGTTGCAGTTGTTCAGTGGGAGGGTTTTCATGTGAGTCAGCGGCAGAGCGGAGACCAGCGCCTGCACCCAGTCTCCCGCCTCCGGATTGGACGATACGTTCAGCTCGGTGATGGAAACCAGCGACGGCAGAACCTGGACTGGAGACACAATCGCGTGGAGGAGAGTTAATGGTTTTTGAAGTTTTTGAAACCACAAAATCTTTATTAAAATACATCTTACTACTTCCTTGCTCTCGTTACAATTTGGTTCTTTTCCTCAGGTATTTGTTTTTGTGACCAATTCTATGTTACACTGGGCCTCCATAAGGGTTAGCACTTTTTTACTGCTGAGTTTTTGAGTTGTCCTTTTCTGATGACAGTGATGGTCTGAGACATTTATTAACATTTATGGACATTGTTCATCCCACTCCCTACAAACCAATGACTCCTATGTGTTTCTCACCATTACATTTCCTGTGTTTGATTCTCTAATCTGTTGTTAACTGATCAACAACTTTGTTTAGTCTTCTGAGGCAACAGCTGTTCTGATCTAGGGCTGTAGAAATATCAATGTAACTGAATTGAACTGCATTGTGGAAAGAAATATTAGTTCAAATATAACACTTTCGGAGTGTGAGCCAAAAAGAGTTTTGTCCAATTTCTTTTCAAATTGTGTAGATTTTTTATCCTGTTTTTTGTCCTTTGGTGTTACAGGGTTAAAATACTGTAATAAATACTATATAATCTTTGTACATTTAATTACTTTTATAAAGCAATGTTTCCTCCTTCCTACTGTGCAAAAACATGAACATTTTCGACCAAAAATGTTCAATGTGAACCAAGGAAATAAAGCATTGATTTAGTCATGAATAAAACTGTTCTAAAGGCTGTTTTCTTAAATGTGGGTCAGGGGAAGAATGAGGCACAACACTCTGCATGATGACAGCGTAACAAGCTGTGAAACAAAAGAATATAAAACATCTGTATGAACCATCTGAAGCTTTGAGCTTTCATGTCAGGGAATGTTCTGCAATGACAATAAATACCACTGTTTATAACTCACTTCTTTCCATTGAGATTAAGAAGCGTCCAGAACATTCATACCTCCATGTAAAAACATGTCTGTGTCTAAGCAATTCTCTTCTTTTAGAGGATTCTTTTAACAGAAATCAGGATGTACCCAGAGCGTGCATGTCGGAGGAGGTCAGGGCGCTCTGGTGGAGGTCCAGAGTCTCCAGGAGGGAGAGCTGGGACAGGTGTGGGCAGAGCACAGGCAGCTGTCCACACAGACCTGTGTTACAGGACACGTCCAAGAGACGCAGAGACGAGGCCAACTGGAGACATTCCCCTGTTCAAAAAGGACATAAATAATAGTACAAACAATAACAATAATAACACACATAAATATAAGTAAAAACATATTTGAGCAAAGGGACTACTTATGAACCAAGTTTTTGAACCAACTGTTGCCATGACCAAGATGGAGACACTAATATTTTCAGTCTACGGTAGAAAGTTTCCTACATTTAACTGGCAATTTTTACAAAAACTCAATATTCAGCATCTTTAGCAATTTTGTACATTTTATATCCAAACTGTTAACTGGTGACTCCTCTGGGAGAGTGATATGGAAACTTCATTTTAATAATCACAGTATATTAAAAAGAGTGAAGATCCAATCCTTCAGTTGTTTGCACAGCTAAACTGCTTTAACCTGGGTTTGAACATTTTTAGGAAGACTGTTCCAGATGTCAGCTTCATAAATCTGAAAAACTGCCTTCCCATGTTTAGTCCTGACTCTGGCACCAGCAGGAGGCCAGTCCCTGTGCTCCTCCGAGTCCCAGCAGGAGGCCAGTCCCTGTGCTCCTCCGAGTCCCAGCAGGAGGCCAGTCCCTGTGCTCCTCAGAGTCCCAGCAGGAGGCCAGTCCCTGTGCTCCTCAGAGTCTCAGCAGGAGGCCAGTCCCTGTGCTCCTCAGAGTCTCAGCAGGAGGCCAGTCCCTGTGATCCTCAGAGTCCCAGCAGGAGGCCAGTCCCTGTGCTCCTCAGAGTCCCAGCAGGAGGCAAGTCCCTGTGCTCCTCAGAGTCCCAGCAGGAGGCAAGTCCCTGTGCTCCTCAGAGTCCCAGCAGGAGGCCAGTCCTTGTGCTCCTCAGAGTCCCAGCAGGAGGCCAGTCCCTGTGCTCCTCATAGTCCCAGCAGGAGGCCAGTCCCTGTGCTCCTCAGAGTCCCAGCAGGAGGCCAGTCCCTGTGCTGGGAGAGAGAATGCACCACTTTTTAATCTCATAACATTGAAGTGATGGGCCCTACCCAGAGCTCGCAGGCTGCTTGGCTTCAGTCCCACTCCCTGAAGTCTGAGGGTTTGGAGTGAAGTAGTTTTGGACAGAGCAGAGCAGAGATCTGTGACTCCGTCTGCGAAGCGTGGGTTGCAGGAGACGTCCAGCAGCGTCAGGGAGCAGAGGGAAGACAGTGTTCCGGCTGAGAGACACAATAATAGTCAAGTATGGTTTTGTGTCGTAAAACTATACAAAACAATCAGCAATGAATAAAACCTGTAGAAGTCCAAGTGTGAAGTGGCTCTTGCAAACAGTGAGTCATCCAAATATGTTTTCAAATCCAAATATGTGTTTATTCTTTCTAGTGTCTAATAAATAGATAACCAATAATAAATATTATTGATTTATAAAATCATACTTTCTAAAAGATGACTTAATGTGACACTACTTTAGAGTCAGGCCTAGTTTTTTATTAACTGCATCCTTTCCTGTAGCCTTCAGTTGTTTTCTTATTAGTAGGATATCTTTAGTTGGTCCCATTGAGGGGAAATGTCAGTGTTGCCTCGCACATTACACAACTGTGGATTAAAAAAGATAAATAGGGCATTAATGGGACATTTCCAATAAGATTACTCACCCTGAGAAGATGGGCAAAAGTCAAAAACCTGAGGCTCTCTTCAAAGTCCTACGCATGTCCTGGTCAGAGCTATCAATCTCTACATTTTATTTTTCTATTTCTATTTATTGTCTTTAAAAAAAGTTATCTATTTCTAAGTGGTTTTCAAACGGTCTTTAAAATTCATATCAATTTCTGCAATTTATACAACTTATCCTGACATACCAACCAATGATACAGAACTTCTATTGGAGTAAAAAAATCTTAATACCATATAAAACGTAATATGCTTCTTTCTACAAACAGAAGAGAAGGAGACAGTCTATGGACAGTACCCAGGGCTGAGCCGTCGGCTGCAGTGAGTTCACAGGCCACTAGGTGGAGCTCTGTTAGGGAGGGCGGCAGTTTTCCCTCAAGGTCTTGAAGAGCACCACCGCTCAGAGAGTTCCAGGACAAATCCAGGACCTCGAGTGAAGGCAAGAAGCTCAGGGCATCATCTGGAGATACACACAGGCCTTTAGAGGGAACCCTGTCGATTAGAATGTGCCCTGTGTCATACAATCAAACTAAATCACAACAGCAGTCGTCTAGAAGAATGAAGGATCATTTTATAGGCTGTGGATTGTTATAGAATTATATACCCCATGAAGGAGGAAACTCAAAGGTCCTTTGTCTGATCAAAAGCGTAAGTTTATTGTTAACGCACAGTGCGGAGAGTCAGCATATCCACACAAAGGCAGCATGCTCAGCTCTGGGGGCCAGAGCCCCCAGCTTCCTGTATACAAAACACACACCAAAGATAGTCACGCCCACAACGGAGCGGAGGGGGCCACCGGTGAGGAGGCGCACAGGAAGCGCCGGCGCCATCCCCTGTGGTGGCAGTGGCATGGGGTGTGAACAGACAGACAATGGTGGAAGTGCAGGTCATACAGATGCAAGACGGAAAGACACAAGGGTGTGACAGACAGCAGGGACCTTCACAAAGCTCAGCATGGCGTCAGAAGGTTGTCTGCATTGATAAAAGGCCTTTGACGTCCGTGTATTTGCTGCGGCTGGTTTTAATGTAATTACTCCAAAAACTGTCACCACACTCCCCTCTTCTGATAATTCAAAACCATTTTTGCATTAATCAGTTAAATACCAGAGGCATCGTAATCACACCACCTTCAAGCTTGAAACACTTAAATTATTGCTGTCCAAAGTGGACAGGAAAAGACACATGCTTGTCAATAAAAGAAAGAGCACATTATAATAACACAATGGATCCGGACAGCGATAAGAGAAGGCAATATTAACATAATAAACACGGTCAGCACGGAAAGTAGTGTCAGTGTGGCCAGCATAACAGTCCAAGGGCCCATGCCGGTCTACGTTCGGTAGTCTTTTCCGCGGGAATACTCACGAGCAGTGCCGTCTCGCAGTCAGTGGCACCGCTCCCTATGAGCGTGTGTGGAGCGTTAGTGGTCATGGCGATGTTTGGTCTTGGAGCGGCAAGACTCTATTTGCGTTGAAGCCTTGGCCTCAGCACTCGGTTGGGCAGAGTGCTCGGGGTTTGGGGTGTGGCGACCATGGCTTGAGCACGCTCCAGATCGGCCAGGCCCAAAGCTCGTTTGATGGGAGACCTCATGACAGCACGCTTCACCATGTGCCTCATCAGGAACTGTAGAGCAGCCCTCATCTCCACCTCCTCCGGACACACGGGAGACGAGACACCAGGGGACACTCCAGCAGAGCTCCAATCTGCATTATGGCCAGAGGGAGCAGGCTCTGGAGAAATCTTTGGAATGAGCAGCAGCTCTGCATACTTGCTGCGGCTGAGCAGAGCGCTCAGGGCCTTCATGGCTCCCAGGCCTTGGGGTCCGGGGGCTGGGGAGTTGGGCAAAAGGGGGGTCGCCTCGGGAACGCTGGGAATCTCTGGGTGTTGTTGTTGGCCTGCTTCACCGACGGTGGCCGCACGCCGGCCAACTTCTTCAGCGTAGGGAGCCGCGGATGGGCCTGGTCCGTCCGCGCCCTCGGTGTCCTCGTCTATGGCCCTCAGTGGCAGCCCCGCACGACAGTGGTTGGCGTGGATCCAAGTTGTCCTCTCCGCGACCTTAACGGCAGTGTCCGTCACCAGGAGGGCGAGGAATGGGCCGAGCCAGCGCTTGGACCGCCAATGCTTTCGTCTCGTTTCCTTCATCAGGACCCAGTCGCCTGCGCAGCCTGTGGCAGGGCGCTCCTGACCTGGGCAGAAATAGAGGACAAAAGTGCATTAATTTCCTTACAATAGGACAGCATGTCGTCATCACACAAAGAGGTGCTTGGCAGATCTCTGTTCGGGGGTCCCTCCCCAAGTTGGGTGGTCTGGCACAGAGGATTTCGAATGGGACTCTCATGCGCATGTACATGAGGGCTAGCGGCAGAGCTTTGAGTGCCATTCTCTCGCTCGCACGCGCCTCCGGGCCAGGGGGCGTAACTGCAGTGTTTACGTATATCAATGCCCAGAAATTCACCCACTTCCTCAATGACTTTTGCTACAAAGTGACTGCCAGTGTCACTAGAGATTTTTTCTCGGGGCACAATTTTTGTGAGCAGAGCTTTCACCACCGCGTTGCTTGTGGCGTGTATGCCTGCAAATACTTCAGTCCATTTGGACCAGAGATCCGCCAGAACCAGACAGTATTACTTACCTTGGCATGGTGTGAGTTCAACAAAGTCCCTTTGGACATGTTGAAATGGGCGCAGGGGCGGAGGATGAGCAGCCTGTTGGATACTTTTGAGACTTACCTGGGTTGTGCGCGGGGCATATAGCGCATGTTTGGCTGAATCTCTGTGCAAATGCCGTAAACCCCTTTGTATACCAATTTTGTGTGATTAAATCACACATCATCCCTCCTTTTGAGGCATGGTCTCGACCATGTGCTAAAATTGCAAACTGTCTGAAGAAATGCCGTGGTAGGCACGGTTTGCTGTCTGGTCCCAGCCACACACACCATGCCGTCGTTGAGCCCCATTCCCCTCTCACAGCAGCGTCTCTGCTGGAGTAGAAAATATCAACGTCTTGAGTGAGGTAGTGTGTGTGTGTGTGTGTAGAGGTGCGTATGCCGCTGCCTTGTCCGCGCGCCGATTCCCTGCAGAGATGGGATCAGTGGCATTAGTGTGGGCCTGGCATTTGCATACAGCGATCTCTAAGGGCAACATTACAGCTTTCAGCAGACGTTCAACCTGTGTGGAATTAAGAATTGGTTTACCATCAGATTTCATAAAATTGCGGTGTTTCCACAGTGCTTCCCAGTCGTGCACCACAGAGAAACCATAGCGCGTATCACATAATATGTTGACAGTTTTGCCCGCTGCCAGCTCACACGCCCCGGTGGGCGCGACCAGCTCAGCGGTTTGTGCTGAGTGGTAGTGGGGCAAACTACCAGAGTCTATAGTATCAAAATCAGAACACACAGCATAGCCGACTCGGTTCTTCCCAGTGTTGTCACGTGACGCCGCTCCGTCTGTATAAAAAAATCAAGTCAGGATTAGTCAGAGGCACCTCTTTCAGGTCTGGCCTGGGAGTGCATCTCTGCTCTATTGTGGCGATACAGCAGTGTGCCTCCCCTTCCTCTGGCGTGAGCAGCAGCGAGGAGGGGTTCAGCTGTGTGCATCCCTTCACCGTAGTTCAAAGAGCACCGTGTTGTACCCCAGCCAACGAGCCGCAGAAAGGCGAGAGGCCCTCTGCTCTAACAGGATCAGGGAAACAGCATGGGGCACAAGCAAAGTTAGTTCAGTGTATCCCACAAGGTCACGTGATGCTAGGGCCGCTTTCTCAGCGGCAGCCACAGCCCGCAGGCAGCGAGGCAACCCTGCTGCCACGGGATCGAGTTTTGCTGAGAAGTAAGCAGTGGGTCTCAGTGGCCCTCAGTGAGGCTGCAAAAGTACCGACTGTTCCGTTCATCTCCAGTTGCTTTTCTCCCGGATCGTCCTCAATTCATATTGTGGGCTTTTGTGCCAAAGTGGAGGCTCATTTCCTCCTGATCCATACTACTGTCATCCCTGGAGCAGGGGTAGTTTATCTCTCATCTGAAAAAAAAATATCAGAACACAAAAAAAAAACACAAAAAATGCCCACTTTCGCTTGTCAATCTTTTTCCCAATTGGGCAAAACATAACTGCATTGACAGGTGGTGTGTGGCATCAGGGCGGAGGCTGTAGCCAAATACAGAACAACAAAATGTATGTTTCTAATTTTATACTCCCCTAAATGTGAGTTTACAGACCAAAGTTGTCCTTCAACCAACGACAGCTCACTGCGGTTGGACTGTGTCGCTGTCAGGACAAACAGCAGAGGCAGGAACTCCCAATATCTTCAGCGAGGTATTTCATCTCCGAGTACTTTCAGCAGAGTACTTTTCTCAGAGTACTCATCCCAGAGTACTCTCACTTTTACACCTGTTCAATAAAGCTTGTTATCTTTGAATCTCTAGTACTTACACCGTATGCTGTTGACAAAAAATAATTATTCCATGATCACATTAAAACATTACAGACACATTTGTTATTCCATGATTCCGTTCAGCATTCCTCATTTCACACATCACACTCATATCACAGTCATATCACAGTCACATCACAGTCACATCACAGGCCGATTTCCCACGTTAGTATTTTGGTCCAGTTTGTTAAGGTCAGCGTAGTGTACTTTGACATGACACACAAACATATAACATGCACAAAACATATAACACACACAAACATATAACAACACAGAAGGCCTGTACTTTTAACTTTGTTATATTTTTCCATGTCCAATTCCAATTGTCTCATGAGCTATTTCTTATTGTTGCAACTTTCAGAGCCTGTAGAGCTTTAAAAGAGTTTTCCTAAAAGGATCCATTTCCAACTTTAGTGTTTACCACGTGGTCTGTATTTCGGGCTTATCACAAATGGTGTCCCCTATATCTCTAATGAGCTCTTGTCACCTAAAAAAATGTTTTTTTCCTTATTTTTTTTTCTTTTTCAATAAAGCCAGGTCGGATTCATTAAAAATGTAAATTAGTCTCAAACTTTAATACTTCACCTTTGTTTCACGATAAAATGTTTTTGTTGCTCATTAAGTAGCACAGATAGTGGTGCCTATCTCAATAAACGTACTCCGTTAGCCTATCTTCCCTACACTGCATGAATTTTCAAACTCCAAGTTATTGTCTGGGAACGACCGGAGAGAGCAGCTTAGGTCGTTCGCGTGGTTGACCTCCAAATTTTGTGCGGGCGTAACTCTATCCACTTGTTGTGGCTAATAACTTAGCAATCTCAGGGTTTGGTGTCAATTTACAGTGGTAGTTAACTTTTGGGACCGGTGCCTCCTTTTATTTATCTATTTTTAATTGAGTCTGCACATAAGGTCTCGGCCTAGTAGGTTAACCGGGGACAATGGGGAATATAGAAAAGAATGTTTAAGCTGGTTGCCCTGAGAATCAAAACACGTTAGCGGTGACGTAAATTGCTCTTTAGTCGTCTCTCCGACGCTGCTAATTAGAATATGAAGCGGCCGCTCATTTTAGGGGAGACAGAAAGGCTGTCACTTTTAGCACAGAATTTGTTGCCCCGGAGTCATCCAGAATTTTAACTTGTACACCACAGGTTGTTAGCGTATATTACGGGCATGAATTATCTCTAAAAAGTGCCAATTGCAATTTGTTGTTGTTCAACTTACATGAGCGGTCGCTTTGGTGACGAATGTGAACCCAGGTTTGGTCAGTCGCTCGTGTTTCCTCCGTGCCCGCCTCTGCCGTCCTCTGGCCCCGTGTTAGCTTGAGCGTTCCTCTGCCTTTAACGCCTCCTCCGGTAACAGTCCTTCGACCCATGTCGAGCACACAGTCTTTCCGCCGGGCTGTGGAAGTTTTTCAAAGTCCGCAGGAGGCCCAGGTAGCCCAAAGCGTTAGCCTGTGGTCCATGAGGGTTGGTGAATGACCCAAACGTGCCGGTACTTTTGGCTTCTTCTGTTTGCGGTGCGGGGGCAACTTTCAAGCGGGTTTCCGCGGGTGCGTTTGGTATATCACGCTGCCCCCTCCGTGGAGAACAGTCACGGGATTTGGAGCAGTTTCTCTCTGTGCTCCAAAGCAGTTCTCGGTGTCTCACATATTTGCTTCCCCGCTTCTTCTTCTGTGGTTTCCTGAGCGTGTGTCTGTTTCCGCCTCTTCTTCTTCTGCGGTTTGGGCCCACTTCTCGCGGGGTCTCAGCTGGTGCGGGCGCCGCCTGTGGTTGGGGCGTGGGGCTGGTGCTTTGAGGCAGAGGACAGTGCGCGGAGGAAAGGCGCCGACAGACCTGGATAGGGAGAGGAAGAGGGACAACAGTAGTCTGCTCATTTTTTAAAAACCCAACGCCTTGTTTGGGTGCACACTTATTGTTAGTAGGGGTAGGGTGGGGGTGTGGGGGATGTGTGTGTGTGTCCGCCTCTGTGTTTCTCCGCTTCGGTGAAGGGCGGAGGAGCTATTGTTTTTACATATTTCTTTCTCTAACCTCTTTTGCCGTGATATTCTTAAAACCAAGTATATTTTTTCTTCCCTTCTTCTTCTAAATTATCACGCAAGATGCGTAATGGCCTGCACCATAGGCAAGCACTCCATAGCTTGCATCTCCTAGATTGATTTTTACCCATTTTCTCGTACGAACAATGGGCCTAACCCGCTTAGTCTCTCCCTGCTCCTACCCACTTTGGGGCGCTCCATTCCCCCCTCGCTGGTTCAACCAGCGAGCGCGCGTTCTTGAAATGGAGCGGTTCTGGCTGAAGACACTTGGAGAAATTTTCAGGGTCGCCTACAGGGCGATACTAACGCGCAGCCGCTAGTTTCAATCTAGAGCAAAAAGCCCCCCAAAAAATCCCGCACACAGACTATGCTGTGGCAATGAATGAAATACCCCAAAAATACATAAATAAACAAATCCCCGTGTACACTTAAGTGCTGCCCTGGGCTCGTTACGCAGATGAAAAGACAAGACTCACCAGATTAGGTTCTTTTTGGTCTTGTGTGGCAAAAGGATTCCTTCCGTGCGTGGACGAGCGCGCCCTCCTTTGTCTCCAAAAAGGAACAGAGGCTGGTGATCCAGGTCGGCCAAACAAAGCCGCTCGTCCCCACCGAAAGTATCCATGCCAAGACATGCCAGCAACGCCAAATTGTTATAGAATTATATACCCCATGAAGGAGGAAACTCAAAGGTCCTTTGTCTGATCAAAAGCGTAAGTTTATTGTTAACGCACAGTGCGGAGAGTCAGCATATCCACACAAAGGCAGCATGCTCAGCTCTGGGGGCCAGAGCCCCCAGCTTCCTGTATACAAAACACACACCAAAGATAGTCACGCCCACAACGGAGCGGAGGGGGCCACCGGTGAGGAGGCGCACAGGAAGCGCCGGCGCCATCCCCTGTGGTGGCAGTGGCATGGGGTGTGAACAGACAGACAATGGTGGAAGTGCAGGTCATACAGATGCAAGACGGAAAGACACAAGGGTGTGACAGACAGCAGGGACCTTCACAAAGCTCAGCATGGCGTCAGAAGGTTGTCTGCATTGATAAAAGGCCTTTGACGTCCGTGTATTTGCTGCGGCTGGTTTTAATGTAATTACTCCAAAAACTGTCACCACAGGATCCAGGACTCAAAACTCATAAAAGTAAATCAGTACAACCATGACTCTCTTATTCAACCGTATACAGCACAAAACTCATTATATAAAAACACAAAATGTCCACATTCAAGTATCTGCACTGGAGTGTCCATGCCCTTCCTGACTCAGAATCACAATCATTTTTATTGCCACGTACGTAACAGTGTCTTTGGCTCAGTGCAATAGTCAGAAAGAGAGGTAAAGGGTAGAGAAGGCATAATAAAATAAAAAAAAATAAAAAAAAATATAAAGATAAGAAGAAAAAAAAATCAGCAACACTAATTATTAAAATTACTATATACAATATACAAGTGCACATGGTGCACACAAGATCAGATGACAGCAGTAAAGTGACTACAGGAAGGACACATGTATGTATAAAAATGACACACATTGGCCACATTGCTATATATGAACAGATTCTTGGCTTCTGGAAGATCCTACCGAGTGCATTCATATCTTGTTGGTCGAGTCTACAGCCGTGGAGCTTCAGAGCGTACAGACTGGTCATGGGGCTGAAGTGGGAGGTGAGTGCACGAAGACTTCCACCAATCAGATGGTTCCAGGACAGATCCAAGTCCTCCAGCTGCGGAGCATAGTGCAGCAGCGTGCCTGAGTCCACAACAGAGACGTGTGATGAACAATCTGTGACGACCTTGTTCCCTCATCACAAAGATCACTGCAGTTGTATAAATGGATAATGCTAACGCCCTAGTTTAAGGATCCCGGTGTTCATATTTTGACACTGTAAATATAGATATGAGCCATATAAGGGTTACCTCCAGCTGGCCTTAGCAACCATCTTAGCAACACATTTTTCTCCTCGTTTCAGTGCAAAGCTAACTTCATCCGAACAATCGCTCATATAGTTTCTCCTTTGTTCTTGTAGTAGGAGCTTAAAGGAGCAACTCAACTTTCTCTGACTCAGGTTGCCAGATATGCAGACAAATCCGCTGTGACCGATTTGACAAGAGTTTTGTCAACAACAAATCTTTAACCAACACCTTTTTCACAAAGATAGAAATCTCTGTTTTATGTCTTGTTTTGTCGTTAATGATTTTAGAATCATAAGATCTTTTTAGTTATGTGGCCAAATGTTTTTTTTTTACCTTTATTTAACCAGGAAAATCCCATTGAGATGAACAACCTCTTTTTCAAGGGTGTCCTGGCCAAGAGGCAGCAAAGTTACACGTAAACACAACAGACCGATACAATTACATAAAAAATGACAGGTATACAGACTAACATCAAGACAATAATGTACAGATAAATGTCACTCACTTTACCAGTGAGATTAGCTCAACGTGGTGCATTCTGGCGCCTGGATCACAGATTTTCTGATTGGTGAAACGGTGGAGGGCGGGACATGGAAATTACAGTTTTTCTCAGTTGCTTTGGTGCATTTTTCACATCAGACTGAAAGTTCTCAAAACTATTTGTTCAACTTCCACAACATTGGGTCATTGGTGCACATCATCACGGCAGTTTCTCATTCCTCTGAACACATTTCAAATGCTTTTGTTCATGTATCAATAACTTTCATACAATTCTCAGCGTTTTTTCAACATCATCATTTGCTTCTGTCCTGTCAGTCAAAATGAAACACACTTATCACTTCTGAATAGTCATTCACTATAAAACTAACTGTCCTCATTTCATTGCTTTGGTCATCACATACAAAATTGTTGAACTAGTTCTCAAAATCATAACTGTCAAGCTAATTTCATACATTCCTTCATCTTTTTTTCCTGTAAATCTTTCTTAAATTGAACAATTTATCTCAGGTGAATTTCAGCTTTCACTCATGAGGTATGCTTTATTGTTCATTTTTGTCACAGTTCTACCATAATGATATTTCTGTATGTTTGTTCTATGTATATACATGTATGTGTCTGCAATTCTACAGCATTGTGCAACAAAAATACAAAGATCATATGCAGTACACATACATACATATACATACTGTACATACATACATAGATACACACATACATACATACATACAGTACATACATACATAGATACACACATACATACGTACATACAGTACATACATATATGTTACAGAATGTCAGTTACTCTAAATACAGTCTTTGTGTAACTTTACTGTAGTTTTTACTGTAAATGGCCGTATAGGTCGTGTATAATGTGCTCATAGTCGTGCTCAAGTGTCACCGAGATCTGACTTTTTTACACTGAAAACACAGAGAGTAAACTTTCACAATGAAAACATGACTAAGTAATTTGACTGTGATGTTTATACTCAATGTTGTTAGGACATATTATTTTGACAACATAGACAGTTTCATTAACGTTTGGACTTGCTTTTGAGGACATAACTTTTCATTTTGAGAAAGTGACGCACTTTTGCAGGTTTTCCACGAGGTTCTGCAGTTTGCACTAATTGTTCTGAGAAATGCACCAACAGTTGTGCAAATGTGAAGAACGATGTGAAAAATGCACCAAAGCGACTGAGAAAAACTGTAAAACAATAATAAGATTTAGGGGCTGTAAAACTCATTTAAAAATTCAAATCTCTCTGAGCTTCTGTTGTCAGTTAAAGAAGGATTGGAAAAGAGCAGTTTATTAATTCCTTTTGACAGATTAGGGCCTTTTAACGATGACCTAACATGAAAATCTTACATATTGCTACTTTAAGTTGTAAATGATGGATTTGTTTGAAAGTTAATGCACAAAGAGGGACACACTCAGAAATACAGGTCAAACATAAACGGCTCTAATACGCCGAGCTCTGTATAGCTCGGCGTATTAGAGCTGTAACTATTCAGAAAGCTCACTGTTCAAGTGAGCAATACGTTTGCAATAATACAGAGTGTAAAATAACAGATGGTAGAGTAATGTTTTGAACACACAGACTAAATAGAACCTGCACATTTACCCAGTTCAAGCAGGTCTGTGACGGTGAGGTCACAGTGCGACAGGCTGATCCTCCCTTTCTCCGTCTCTGATCCCATTTTATGAAGAAAAGCACGAACCCGCCCCCAGCCAGGCTCATTCTCCCCATCAGCCGCCTCTGGAACATAGACAATGTTTTTAGTCTAAACATGAATAAATGTGCTGTCCACAGTTGTCAACGTCAGATCTTTTCCCCCTACAGCCCCATGTTTTATGGCGTTGGTGTTGAAAGGCCATGTCTACCCAGGACAGCAAGACCTTAGACCCATGTCAACTTTTCACCCTCGAGAACACAGGAATGTGTCAAAATAAACAAACTCCCGACATTCAAAATAAGTCCCAGGGAAACACATGATGATGGACTAGATAGATAGATAGATAGATAGATAGATAGATAGATAGATAGATAGATAGATAGATAGATAGATAGATAGATAGATAGATAGATAGATAGATAGATAGATAGATAGATAGATAGAAAGATAGATAGATAGATAGATAGATAGATAGATAGATACAGTAGATAGTGTTCACTTTAGGTCAGAGCAGCAGAGGTGTAGCCGCTGGGACTGTGGCGGCTTATCGTCCATGTGGAGCAATGTAAACATCTTTAAACAACAACACAATCTGTGTGTGCGTGTGTGTGTGTGTGTGTGTGTGTGTGTGGCCTTAATAATAATAATATAAAAGATAAGACAAGATAAACCTTTTTTTATCCCTCAGTAGAAAATGTCCATGTAAAATAAAAAATAAATAAATAAATGCGTACATCAAACCGAAACTATTATTTAAGACGATAAATATGTCGAGTGGCTGCTATTGATCACAGCCACTGGGGGCACGGTGGCTGAGTGGATAGCACTCTCGCTTTTCAGCAAGAAGGTTCTGGGTTCAAATCCCGGTTCGGAACAGGACCTTTCTGAGTAGAGTTTGCATGTTCTCCCCGTGTCTGCGTAGGTTTCCCCCTACCACTAAAACATGCACAATAGGTCTGAATGTAAATGAGAGTGAATGATGGTGTTGGGTCAGAGGCTTTGATGGTCCAGTGTGTTCTGGACTCGCTTCCGTCATCACCGTGTGTGGAAGGATTGGAACAATATCTGACTCTGAACATTGTAAAGTGCTTTGGGTCTGTACCTTGGTCTGTAAAATGTGCTATATAAATAAACATTACTTACTTATCTACTACTTACATAATATAATAATAATGTCAAAAACTAATAATGATATGGTACAAAATCCATCCAAAACAGCATCAAAGGATATAGATTGTTTTATGTACTAAAATGGCGTTGACTTTTGGCTGTTACAGAGAATCATGGGTAAAATAAAAAGAGGATCATGAGCTAGTATTTCACATTTTTTACAGAGGAATTACACATGTACTAAAAAGCAGTACCGTGGCTCACCTGGACTCTGAACCTTCCTGTGGGCCTCTCGGTTCCCTGTTCGGTCTGAGGCCCAGGACAGGAGCCTCCCCAGGGGTCTGCGGTCCGAGCGCTTCCTCCGGATCTGGTTCATGATGACGTCCAGTGGAAATCTCCTCACGCTGCCGCTGTCCTGAGGCCGCTGCGCCCCTGTCCAAACACACACAAGTTATTTATGCTGTAAAACTAGTGCCACAATGTGTTCATTACTAATTTTTAAACAAAAACATGGACCATACAATTGTAATAACCCAGGGGCATCAAACACCGCCCATATTAGGTAAAAAGAATAGAATTGACCTGATGTCCTGTAGAATATTAGGCAGGAGATACGTAAACTAGATGAGGAAATGTACATTGTTGTTACTACCACATTTCAAAGTTTTAATTGCTGATGGTTTTTGTTTTTAATTTGAAATGTATTACAGTAAAGGTCCATAGACTATTCCCCAGACCAACGATCCATCCAAAATCACCAAGTGCCGTATGAAAAACATGGCCTTCAGAGTACCACAAAACTAAGTCTAAAACTGGGTTGATAATAAACCTGGGCTTCCTAACTTAAATAATGAATTGTGTTTGTCCTGGTCCTCTCTTTTTCACTTTTCTGACTGAAAAGCTGATTTAAAGATAAGATAAGAATTCCTTTATTCGTCCCACAGTGGGGAAATTTTGATGTTGCATCGCACATATAGGACAGTAGTAAGAGCACACAGGGAGCACACACAATATATACACTATATACAAATAAGTAGATCAAGATAAACAACATACATACGAAAACTAGTGGGAGCGAGGAACTAAATATGATGATTCATGACAGAATTCTATGTCTATTGAAACTATGAACCCCAGCTTTAAAACTATACAATAAGACAACGGATTTTCCATTGTTCTAAGTGCAATAAAACCCCAACGCAGAAATTAGATGGTACAAGTCCAAAACTGTTTGGCCAGTACGGGGATCGAACCCGCGACCTTGGCGTTATTAGCACCACGCTCTAACCAACTGAGCTAACCGGCCTTATAATTGCTTTGAATTTTGGAAAATTCATTACTCGTAGGCAGTGTATTATGAATGCATTAGTGAGAAAAATATGTTGTTTCATTGTTTTGTAAAAATCAAGAAAACACGTAAATAACCTTTATCAGACCGGAAGCGTCACTCACCCGCAGCAGTAGGACACTCCATCTCCAGGAAAATAATAGGAAAGATTTGTCTCGATCAGAAATCTGTTTGAACGGCAGAAAACACAGTGCAGTGTTCAAATCTCGGGGTTGATGTATTTGTTGAAGCCGCTTTTGTTTCGCTGTTGTGGTTCTTGACCCTTGGATCTCTCATCGTCCATCACGTGCTGCTGAGTGCAGGGTCCCGGGGCCAGACTCCGCAGGTTTGGACTCCTGCACCTGAGCGTCTCGTGTGCGTCAGGTGTGCGTCAGGTGTGCGTCAGGTGCACCATCCCGGAAGAGAAGCCTCCGCGCACACTCCTGACAATGGAATGTGTTTCTTATGAATGTGTTATAGACTGAGGAACAAGAATAACACGCAACAAACACAACCAAGTCCCGCCTGCACTTAACTTGAATAACAATGATTTCCAAAATAAATACATGAAATGAAATGAGATGAAATATGACATTGGTTTAGAGCTATATATATATGTATAGATCATGATCACTATATTGTTTCAAAGACATTGTTTAGAGCAGTGTTTTTCAACCTTTTTTGAGCCAAGGCACACTTTTTTTACTGAAAAAATCTTGCGGCACACCTCCAGGAGAAAATGTAAAAATGTATACAGTACTAATGTAACAAAATATATACTGTACATACTCTGTGTGATATATAAAGTTTATCTTATCTTATAATGTATACAGTATACTCTGTAGCCCAGTGTTTTTCAACCACTGTGCCGCGGCACACTAGTGTGCCGTATGATATTGTCTGGTGTGCCGTGAGAAATTCGTCTACTTTGTCTAAAAATAACTGCATTCGCTGTTGACGAGCGGTGACTTGTTTTGAACTGTGGAGTAACCATGTAATACTTTTTCAAATCAGTAGATGGCAGCAGATAGCTAAGTACTTTGAAACTGAAAAATTGGATGCGACCACTGGCTACAGATCAGCATTGTGGCGAGAAAGGTAAAATTGGATGCGACCAACAAATGTGGGAGGGAGCGAGACAAGAGCTTTGTGGCGAGTGAGAAGTAAAAGTGATAGAGACGTTTTTGAAAATGAATTATGCCGTTTCTGAACAGGATTAACATCCTCCGCTCTGCCCCGGGGCAGCTGTGGCCGCGTTGTAGTGGTTTAACTATGAAATGTACAATTTTTGTACAACAGCTCTCGCGAACGCACTTCTGAACTGGGTACCGAGCGCAGACCATAGTCGAGTGGACAGAACCACAGACATGCGGACCGGACAGAACCATGGACTCGCGTTCAGGACCTCTCGTGTCCCTCATCCAAAACTCCTGAATTTAAAGCTCGGATACCTAAATTTTTCCCATGCACTAACAATGCATGTTCTTTGTGTGAGTTATTATTTGACTATTTGGGCAGAGAGTGGATTTTCTTAGTTTTTTTCCACACAGTTAGTGCCCCTTTATTCCCAAACTCTTGTTAATTGTATCGAGAAATATTAAATAAAGCTTAATGTCAAGGCCTGGACTTAAGCATTTTGATGAGAATAACTGTATATTGTGAATATAGGCTACAGAGTATACTGTATACCAGTGTTTTTCAACCACTGTGCCGCGGCACACTAGTGTGCCGTATGATATTGTCTGGTGTGCCGTGAGAAATTCGTCTACTTTGTCTAAAAATAACTGCATTCGCTGTTGACGAGCGGTGACTTGTTTTGAACTGTGGAGTAACCATGTAATACTTTTTCAAATCAGTAGATGGCAGCAGATAGCTAAGTACTTTGAAACTGAAAAATTGGATGCGACCACTGGCTACAGATCAGCATTGTGGCGAGAAAGGTAAAATTGGATGCGACCAACAAATGTGGGAGGGAGCGAGACAAGAGCTTTGTGGCGAGTGAGAAGTGAAAGTGATAGAGACGTTTTTGAAAATGAATTATGCCGTTTCTGAACAGGATTAACATCCTCCGCTCTGCCCCGGGGCAGCTGTGGCCGCGTTGTAGTGGTTTAACTATGAAATGTACAATTTTTGTACAACAGCTCTCGCGAACGCACTTCTGAACTGGGTACCGAGCGCAGACCATAGTCGAGTGGACAGAACCACAGACATGCGGACCGGACAGAACCATGGACTCGCGTTCAGGACCTCTCGTGTCCCTCATCCAAAACTCCTGAATTTAAAGCTCGGATACCTAAATTTTTCCCATGCACTAACAATGCATGTTCTTTGTGTGAGTTATTATTTGACTATTTGGGCAGAGAGTGGATTTTCTTAGTTTTTTTCCACACAGTTAGTGCCACTTTATTCCCAAACTCTTGTTAATTGTATCGAGAAATATTAAATAAAGCTTAATGTCAAGGCCTGGACTTAAGCATTTTGATGAGAATAACTGTATATTGTGAATATAGGCTACAGCAGTGTTTTTCAACCTTTTTTGAGCCAAGGCACACTTTTTTTACTGAAAAAATCTTGCGGCACACCTCCAGGAGAAAATGTAAAAATGTATACAGTACTAATGTAACAAAATATATACTGTACATACTCTGTGTGATATATAAAGTTTATCTTATCTTATAATGTATACAGTATACTCTGTAGCCTATATTCACAATATACAGTTATTCTCATCAAAATGCTTAAGTCCAGGCCTTGACATTAAGCTTTATTTAATATTTCTCGATACAATTAACAAGAGTTTGGGAATAAAGTGGCACTAACTGTGTGGAAAAAAACTAAGAAAATCCACTCTCTGCCCAAATAGTCAAATAATAACTCACACAAAGAACATGCATTGTTAGTGCATGGGAAAAATTTAGGTATCCGAGCTTTAAATTCAGGAGTTTTGGATGAGGGACACGAGAGGTCCTGAACGCGAGTCCATGGTTCTGTCCGGTCCGCATGTCTGTGGTTCTGTCCACTCGACTATGGTCTGCGCTCGGTACCCAGTTCAGAAGTGCGTTCGCGAGAGCTGTTGTACAAAAATTGTACATTTCATAGTTAAACCACTACAACGCGGCCACAGCTGCCCCGGGGCAGAGCGGAGGATGTTAATCCTGTTCAGAAACGGCATAATTCATTTTCAAAAACGTCTCTATCACTTTCACTTCTCACTCGCCACAAAGCTCTTGTCTCGCTCCCTCCCACATTTGTTGGTCGCATCCAATTTTACCTTTCTCGCCACAATGCTGATCTGTAGCCAGTGGTCGCATCCAATTTTTCAGTTTCAAAGTACTTAGCTATCTGCTGCCATCTACTGATTTGAAAAAGTATTACATGGTTACTCCACAGTTCAAAACAAGTCACCGCTCGTCAACAGCGAATGCAGTTATTTTTAGACAAAGTAGACGAATTTCTCACGGCACACCAGACAATATCATACGGCACACTAGTGTGCCGCGGCACAGTGGTTGAAAAACACTGGTTTAGAGTAGACTTAAAACAGCAGCTTACAAGGTGCTAAACCAGGATATAAACAATAGACTGATCAGCTCATCTATTTGAAGATCCCCTTGCTTTTTGCACAATAAACATGAACATTTTGATTTACTAACTAACCAATGTGAATATATATTTTTAATTCATGTATATACTATGTACGGAGGGAGTTGGATTAATAAATCGCAATGAGAACTTCCCTGTTGGGCTTCTTTGAGTTAGTGTTAGCATCGTCCATCTGTCTTTGCTCTGCCTGCATACAAAATACCTTTTACTATTTTTCCTTGTCCTTTAATATCTACTTCTATGAGTCAAGGTTATTCAAGTGTTTTTTTTTTTTTGTGGCCATTTTCAGAATAATTCTATGCTACCAATGTCAATTTGAACCACACTGATATAACGATAGAAAGGAGAAGGACGAGGAAGATAAGATAATATGAAAAAACTTTACTGATCTCACAATTTACGCCAAACATTTAGCTTCAATATGGTCACTCAGGGGTGTGCAAACAGACAGGAGATGGGCTAACAGTTAAAGCGTAAGAAAGATTTAAGATATAGTGTGTTGAGGAGTGAGTGCTTTCTGAATTGGATGCAGCCTCTTCTGACGCCCCAATCCCGTTCACCTGTTGGCCCTTCACACCTGGGCCCTGATTGACATGAGCAGAGGCAGTGGAGGGATCTGCACCTCCTCACGCTTTTACTGCAGCGCTTTGACAGAAGTGGCCTAGACTTTTCAACATGGGGCATTTCGAACGGTAATCCATGTTCTATTGTTCCTATTTATGAGTACAATTATAATAGTATAATGTTTACTGCATCAGCTGCATATGTGAATAGTTCATATTTATCTAATTTTTGTTTCATCTTTTGGTCTAGATGGTTCATTTTTATTGTAGCAACAAATTGTATCAAAGGTAAGCCTGCAAAAGCCCCATGTATACAATAATAAACGGTGCTTTTTGTTATGGTTTTAAAACTTATTTGCAGGCTATGTTGGCTTTGTAAACCCTCAGCCTTGGCAGCCGTGGGTTCCATGGCATCCCAAGCCCTATGTTCCCAGGCAGTTCGGTGCACCCTTTCTACCACCAGTGAACCAGGCAAGTACTGCAAAATTATTGTCTTTAAATGTCATTGAACACAGAGTATACTTCATAAGCTGGGATACCACATTTCAAACCAGTATGGAACAAATTAAATCCATATATAGGGGTTACTGCGTTTTTAAAGGGTTTGGTTCTAATCAGAGTCCGGTATCTCACATGTTTTTGACGGAATCTAATTAATAATTGTTTTTTTATTTTTATAATCTAAATCTGTGGAGTAACAAAAATTTACGGAATAGAAAAATATTGCAGCCCTATCCCTAAACGTTAACTACTATTGACTCTAGGTCCTACTATTAAGGGATTTCATACAAGGGGCAACTCAAAATTCTTAATTGAACTCGAGCAACAAGACGAGATGCATTTTAAAAGGGTGACCTGTTTTATGAGACGGAAGCATGTCTCATTTGATAAATTTTACGTGTACATGTTCTGTGTTTCATAACTACAATGTTTTGGAGATCAGCTTCAATTCCAGAGCCAGAGAAAAAGCATATTTGTCTGTTTTCAGTTGTGGTTTATGATTTGCTTTGTCTCAGCAGGTGGCAGGACCAGTGTTTTACCCGTTGATCAGCGCTCAAAGACCTCCACACTTTTACCCCTGGCACATGCCGTGGGCCGTCCCGCACTACGGCCCGTCTCCAAACGTGCCTCAAGTCAACCCTCCACAAGCCGTCTCATGGAGGCCTGGACAATTTCCCTATTATTATTCCAAACCGTCACAATATTATTCAAACTATGGTCAAATGCAGCCAAACCCAGTCTTCCAACAATCCAGATTTCCATTTCAGGGTTCGTTCATGCCTGCAGCCAAACAAACATTGCTGCCAGTGAGGACTATCCAACGCAATCCTGCCTTTCTGCCAAAGTATCAAGGCATTAAAGGGAATCCATTTGCTTACAAACCCCAAAGCAGGCTGTTTGACTTGAACAATAACTACGGAGGGTCACGACATCCGAACCGACCAGTGAAGGGTCGGCAGCAGCTTCAAGAACCTCTGCAGTTTTTTGGCCGATAGTGGGTTCCCAAGTTTAAACAAAGTAATGTTTAATCTATGTAACTTTTGCCAAAACCTACAAGTGGCATTAAACTTTGCAATAAAACACCCTTTAGTTGTATGCCTAGAAAAACAAGTCTGCATGTCACCTTTCTGTATTTGGTCTGATGTTATGGGACATTCCTGGCTAAATGATTGTTGCCATGGTAATGAGCCAGGACCTCTCCATTTAATATTATTTATAATTATTAATGTTAAGTTGTCGCACTGATAGGTTCACGAGCCATGTTCCTGCCCCTACGGACCCTCGTATCAAAGTTGTCGTGCCGAGCAGCAAGGCAGCGTGTAAGTTGGCTCCAAAAGCTTTTATTTTGTAAAATGAGTCAACAGCATTTCTTCATTGTTCTGTTTGTATTAGAGTTGGAACTGTGCATTACTACTGGTTGTTACATTTTCTGATGCCTTTATTTTGGTCTAGATCCAAATCTCATTACTAAGTACTTCAGTAATTGTTTTTACAATGTTCCTTTGAGCTTATGTCTAAAGCCTTTTCATAAATTCTTCTGTGACAAAAGAATCAGACTTGTAAAATCATGATTCATGTTTTCCAAATTAGGAAATGTGAAAATATTAAAGGGTCATGTCACAAACCAATGTTTGAATCTCTGGTCTGAGGTTAAAGTAGATGTTTTGTGTATTTATAGAATGACTTGATATTCAAATACTTTAGTTTCAAAGATGTTTGACATTGATTTGGACTTCACTCAGTCCAACAAACATTCTGCTGTAAAATGTGTACTTTACTCCAACCAAAGTTAAAATGGCTTAATATTTGTTCTGATGACCCAAATATCAGTCTCAAAATACTTGTCTTGTAAAAATGACCAAAAAGTCCTCGCTCATACAAGGATTTACAAACGGCACAGAATAAACCGCTGGATCCACATCTGAGGACAAACGTGCAGAAAGTCCCTGAGACGTGGCTCCTGTTGAGTCCACGCGACATCAAAAGTAGTAAATCTGCTCGAAGGGTCTCTGGTCCCCCGCGTAGGTCTGACTGTGTCGGTAGATCAATAACTTCCTCACTGCTTCCTCACTTTCAAATGAGTGCACACTTTTTCTGGCTGCAAAGACAAGAAACTGTTAATCTCAGGAGCTAAACAATGTTAAACATAAATATATAGATAATTTACCTTCGTTGACAAAGAAGTTTGCAAAGTAAAAGGTCACTTTGACAGCATTTGAAGAGTGTGCATAATACGCTCTGGTCCATTCAAAAGGGTTCTTCTCTGGATGCCACTGAACGCCGTAGATCGGATAATCATACGCTGGAAACACAGACGTGACGTTCTTATGTAAGAGTTTTCATTCAGGATCTGGGTCGACACCTGAACTACTGACACTGAGGGATCGAAGTGGGCTTTTCAACTTCCTTGCTACCACTTTTAATAAAACTTAGCTGCAGTTATATGAATTATGCCAAACAATGAAAGTGTTGTATTGATTCAACTACAAGCCTTTACCTTCCCACGTGGAAATAAACTCAGTTCTGCCGTCGGTGTTTGTGGACAGCACTTTGTAAAACGTCTTCAAGTCGTCGTTGGAGTTGTACGTCTGTGACACAAGTTACATTCAGTCAATATTGGATCCATTATAAACAAAAACTGACCCAGAAATGGATTAAAGGGAAGAAGTTAAGTTTTTGTTTGTTTGTTTACTTCTTTCTGCATCAGTCTTTTGTTTTAAATAACAAATCTGGACACTTATGGAATCTTGTGCTTCCGGAAAAAATGCACACACACATCTCAGGTATTTTGAAGAAAATGATAAGAGCCAAGACTATATAAAAACATTTAAATAAATTAGAGACTTTGTAATGAATGGTGCTAAAAGATTTGTAAAAGATTGTAAGTGGTGCAGGTAAAGTTCACCTCCAGAGAAACACTCCACATGTGAGAGTTTTCGGTCAGAGCCTCGGTCTCTAACGCCCGCATGAGTTCATCTGGGAAATCCTGGAACATGCGGCTCCCTTTGGCCTCTGCAAAAGAGACATAATACATATATAATGCATTTTCTTTATCCAAACAGAAAGAATCTTGTAAAACTAAAAACTTGTGAGCCGTTCAGACCAGAATCAGCCTAACGTATTGTATTTTTGTATTTATTCCAAACATGTACAGTGCCTTGCGAAAGTATTCGGCCCCCTTGAACCTTTCAACATTTCGCCACATTTCAGGCTTCAAACATAAAAATATACAATTTTAATTTTTTGTCATGAATCAACAAGTGGGACACAATCGTGAAGTGGAATGAAATTTGTTGGATAATTTAAACTTTTTTAACAAATAAACTGAAAAGTGGGGCGTGCAATATTATTCGGCCCCTTTACTTTCAGTGCAGCAAACTCACTCCAGAAGTTCAGTGAGGATCTTTGAATGATCCAATGTTGTCCTAAATGACTGATGATGATAAATAGCATGCACCTGTGTGTCATCAAGTCTCCGTATAAATGCACCTGCTCTTTGATAGTCTCAAGGTTCTGTTTAAAGCGCAGAGAGAACCATGAAGACAAAGGAACACACCAGGCAGGTCCGAGATACTGTTGTGGAGAAGTTTAAAGCCGGATTTGGATACAAAAAGATTTCCCAAGCTTTAAACATCTCAAGGAGCACTGTGCAAGCAATTATATTGAAATGGAAGGAGTATCAGACCACTGCAAATCTACCAAGACCCGGCCGTCCCTCCAAACTTTCATCTCAAACAAGGAGAAGACTGATCAGAGATGCAGTCAAGAGGCCCATGATCACTCTGGATGAACTGCAGATAACTACAGCTGAGGTGGGGATGGTGTGTTCAGGGTGATGAGCTGTGTTGCTTTTACGCCAAACATATCGTTTTGCATTGTGGCCAAAAAGTTTGATTTTGGTTTCATCTGACCAGAGCACCTTCTTCAACATGTTTGGTGTGTCTCCCAGGTGGCTTGTGGCAAACTTTAAGAGACTTTTATTGGATATCTTTGAGAAATGGCCACTCTTCCATAAAGGCCAGATTTGTGCAGTGCACGACTGATTGTTGTCCTATGGACAGACTTGAAAGGTTACTTTCGCAAGGCACTGTACAGACAAAATGTTAACTTCACATGTTTGAAAAGGAGTGGGTGACAGTAAAAACCTATTTAGAACCACCCCTTCTTTTGAAGTCCTCTGAGACGACTGCTGCTTTACAAAATAAATTGAGGTGTACTCGTTTGGGTTCACATAAAGGTTTACCGTTGGTGAAGTTGAGTGGGAGAGTCACGCTGGTGGTATTTGTGTTCACCAGAACGGGCTTCTGTGCCGTCAGATAGGCCAGCTGCTCGAAGCCCAGACACGTGCCCCAGATCGGGAAGAAGTCTCCTTTCTGATTGGCCTGAAATGTAGGTTATCATAATTTTATCACCAATGTTTTATTTTAATTGTTTGTTTGTCAAATTAAAAACAGTTTAAGTAGCAATATGTAAGATCATCCTTAAAGGGCCCTAGTTTGTCAAAAGGCATTAATAAACCATGCTCTTATCAAATACTTCTTTAACTGATTAAAGCAGTTCAGGGATATTTGGATTGTAAAATTTGTTTTACAGCCTCTAAATCTTGTTGTTTTCATTTCGATGTCCCGCCCTCCACCGTTTCACCAATCAGAAAGTCTGATCCGGGCGCCAGAACTCCCTGCGTGGAGCTAATCTCACTGGTAAAGTACCATGTGGCTTAGAACTAAAAAGGTCTCGTTATGATTCTCAAATCATTAATGACAAAACAAGGAATAAAACCAGGATTCCTATCTTTGTGAAAAAGGTGTTGGTTATAGATTTGTTGTTGACAAAACTCTTGTCTATTCAGCTGTTATGGTCCCAGCTGGATTCGTCTGCATATCTGGCAACCTGAGTCAGGGAGAGTGGGAGAGGCTGCAGTACCACTTTTGGCCACTTGTGTACTTACTGCTGCTTTAAAGAAGGCACATGGACCAAAGGACAATATGGAACAATGACATCATACTATTACAGGACTGAGACAGGAGCTTTTAGACAGAAGTTTCTGATATTAGCGAGGATGGATCTAAAAACAACTCAACATGTCTTCACCTCAATCGCCAAATCATAAAATATCTTCGACGCTCTGGCATAACCGGACGAGTAGATGCTGACACCCCCTCCTGGCAAAAGGATCCTGAAATGAGGAAAACAACACAATCAAGAATACTTGTGTTGCCATGACGACCCAGGACTTCAGTGGGAAAGGTTGTCATGTTGTTTTGAGCCGTTTTTGGATGTTCACCACAGGGAAGACAGGAGCACTTCATATTGGCCCCTAAAGTTAATTTTAAGAAGCATTTACATAAACTTTTCTCTGTGTATTTTGTGTGCTCTTTCTACTGTCCTGTAAATGTCTCTCATCTTATCTACAGGGTTAGGGAATTATCGTTATAAAGGACTTCAGTTTATCATCCACAGGATAAAAATGTAAATCACAAGTCAACATTGTATCTACTTTTAAAAATATATATTTATTGAATGATCAACACACTTCTAATAAATGTATGATCATGGACAGTCATTACCAGTAACGTTCTGTTATTACATAAAACATCTAACATGGCACAATGTATTCTAGTAGAAGATTATTTATCAGTGAAAAAAGACAAAAGTGAAAAATAGACGTACAAAATGAAACATTAACATAGAGAAACACAACGTGTGTGTGTGTGTGTGTGTGTGTGGTGTAGTAGATACATTTGCCTGGAGAGATTATCATTTCAAGGCAATACTTTTGATTTAAAAGACAGAAAACCGCTGTAGGTTGAAGACTGGGTTTGAAAACGGAACATTTTAACTGAATGGGACGTGTTTGTGGCAGAAGGTCCTGAAGTTAGAGTGGATGGTGCTAAAGACAACTCCAGGTCAAAATGAGGGAATGATGTTGTTCTAATGGTAAAAAAAAGTCAATCTTGCGTATGATCGAAAGGCCACTTCCAGACAATGCACTTTATATATTGCGTGTGTTTTGAGGTAATATTTGAACATTTTAAAGACTACAGAGAGAGAGAAGTTACCCGTTCAGGGAGTAGAAAAGGGCTTTGTATTCCTCTTCCGTTTGGTTGATCCTGAAAGTGTATAAAGGTGTTACACATTGACAGAGTAGGAGCAGGGATCCTGGCTGATAACGTTTAAGTCCTCACATGACAGGAACGACCCTCGCTCCGGCCGACTCCACAAACTTGACATAAGACGCCGCAATGTAGGACTCTGCGTCAGGTGTTGGGTCATATCGACTAACCTCTTGGGAAAGGATTCCTGACAAAAAAAGAGTTCAAGTTAATGCCGTGTTATAATCACAGTTACAACAGATCCTACAGATTAGATAGTTTTATAGTCGTTTTAGCGCTTTTCTAAAACGACAATAAAACCCTGCACATGTCATTGTTATTTCACTTTATACAAGTTGGAGATAAACTACTATAGTAGCCACAGCTGCCCTGAGTCACACCGACAGAGTCCACCAATATGAGCCATCAGCCCCTCCCACCACCATCAACCATTCACACACACCAGACTCATTCTAATGGGAAGTGTCTTGCCTAAGGACACAACAACAGTTTGGCACTTTACAGCTCCACTGTGGCACCTGGTGTTCCCAGAGGTCTCCCATCACAGTACTAACCAGGCCCTGTCCTTATTTTTTTGGTCAATAATAATATTACATTTTAATTATGTAACAAGCTGATTATGAAAGTAATGTATAAACTTTTCAGGCTAAATAATACATATATTTAGAAAGACGCTTCATATGTCATTATTCTTTCACTCCATACATGGTGGTGATAAACTACTGTAGCCACAATGTACAATCTTTTTTTTTTTCTAAGATGTAGGAGCACTAACCTCTAGTTTTTGTTGGTTTATTTATTAAAGGCCTTTACCCATTGGTTGAGACGCAGTTTGATTGTAAAAGTACCTATAACCAAGAGATAGAGATGCCCTAGAGGTAGAATTTAGTTCCAAGCTTCAGGCAGATGTAGTGACTCAAAAGGTGATCCACCAAATGATTGAGGAGACTATTAAAGGGTTAAACCAGACTTTTTACAAACAAAAGTAAGGTCTGTACTCCAGTTTTAAACAGGCAAAGTAGTAGCCTGTTTAGCGCTGAGATTTTTTATGAGAATGATAGTGAAAGGAATGGTCTTACCGATGACAGGCCTTTGAGAGCTGCTGCTGGTTGGTGAAGTTGGTGAAGTTGTGGATAAATGTGGTAAAGTCAACGCCAGCAAAGAGAGCAGCGGAAACCAGAGGAGCGCGCGCATGGTGAGAGCTCGTGAGTCAGTGTGCTGGTGACGTCCTCGCGCGTGTGCCGCTGCGCCCACGTGACCCAATTAACGTGAACCTGGCCCCCCATCATACTCAAAATTTTATAAAAAATATGTCAATCGTTTGTGCTACGTTTGTGCTGTTTTGTGCTGTAAAATTTTTTGTTTGTGCTGTTATCGTTTTTGAGATATTGAGGATTCTTTTATAGGTCAATCTGAGGTCACCCAGCCCCTCATTTTGCTAAAAAATGCTCCAAAATGGACGAAAATAGTGTCATTCGTTTGTGCTACGTTTGTGCTGGTTTGTGCTGTAAAAATTTACGTTTGTGCTGTTATCGTTTTTAATATATTAATAATTGCATTGTTAGACGATGACGTCATCATACTCTTTCGAAAATGCGCAGAACTGACTGAGAATTGTGTCTATCCTTTTGGCTTCGTTTATGCTGTGCATATATTTGGTTTATACAGTTATGTTAAACATTTTAAGAATTTGGGTATCTCTTTATTTTTTTATTTCACACACACCTGGCAGTGACGTCATATCCGGACACTTTATTTCTGCGTGATTAATCATGGCTAGAACCTCTCGACCACAGTCTATGCTCTCGACGCTCCTCGAACTTTTGGCAAGTAAATCTTCTTTTAATCCCCTTATTGGTGTAGTGTTTGACATATAAATGAGGATGATAACGTTGAATGTAGTATTTATGTGAATATCATTATTAACCAATCGTTAATTTCATAGATTTAAATGGCACAAGTTGACATTTAATCTGCCATAGCCTGTACAATTATCCTTAACATTACTGGCACGGATTTGTTCAATATATTCACAGCATATGCCTGTTTAAAATTCACTTGTATTGCGATTCACACATGTTTCACGTGCTGAATGTGTGTTAAGGAGCTTAATTAGCTAAGCCAATTAACACACGCTAAATTCTTGCATATGAGTAGACTTGCAGGTTTCGGTTTGCACAAACTGTATACTTAGTGTTTTGTCATTTGGTTAAATCATTTTACTACATGATTATTATTATTTATTTTTTTGTGCAGGATGGCAGCTTGGAACAGCCAGTGTGGAGTACAGCCAGTGTGGAGTGGAGTCACTGTTTTTTTGTAGTGTGTACAGTAGTACTAATACCTCTGAAAGTCAATTTTATGTAGCTTTAATTTAAGTACATGTATGAGGCCTTCTTTACTGCTTGATTAGCATGGTGTAGTAGTGAAGCTTATAAGCATACACATTTTGTTTTGTTTTCTTAAATTAACTTAATTTAATGGAAATGTTTTTAAAGTAAGAATGAACTAAAAGCAGTCCCTGTCAAAGAACAATATTGTGGTATATCTTCACATACAAAAGAATAGAAACATGGACATAGAATTGAAACATATGCCAAACTAATTGCAAACAAACTTAAAGTGCCAAAGGACAACTCTCACAAAAGCATAAAAACAAGGTTACTGATCATGTGTGTAAAGCACTGCATGTGGACACACATGTCTATTTTCTGCCACAGTTTTTACTTCGCTCCTCAGGTCATCAAACATCTCCCAGACTCTTGGGGACCTTTTGCAGTAGCAGACGTAGTGACCCATGGCATTTGTTGACTCTCCACCTCTGAATGCTATGACTGCCCTTAGTGTGAAGGTCTTATCCTGAAGGACCATGCTGGATGGAAATTCAGACAAGGAAGACTCTCTTTTTTGTTGGTGAGTTTGTGAAGTACTCATACGGTCAGTATCAACCCATAAAATTTCTCCTAGACTGCAGCTGTGTGTGACCATCCCTTCACATAGGGCAGATGACTCCTCTTCGGTGCCTCCAGGGTGACCCTGTAGTGGCAAATGGACTGGCCTGAGACAGGGAGATATGGGCAGGTGAAGTCCTTGCTGCACTGCAATCTCAAGTTGAGCCATACCAGAAGTCTGCAGTACATCGAAGGATGGATAGACAATTGGTACTTCCCTTGAGGTTTGCACACCGAGCACGCAGTGCTGGGAGGAACATTTCTTATGAAAGTACACGCTTGTGATATTCCTCATTGTTTTCTGTACTACACTGGAAATGTGACACTGAGCATCAATCTGGAGTGCACCTATCAGCAACTTGACATCTGGAAATAATGTGGTCAGCACCTCAGCTCTCTGGATATATGCATTCCTGCCAATACCATCTGTCGCAATGGATTTGGCCAGCTTGAATGACGGGTTTGAGGGTTCGGTGTTGACCGCATACTGGAAGGACATGCTGTCACACTATGCACAGCTCAGACTTTGCAAAAATGCATCCACTGCAAAAGTATTTAACACAGATACTGTTTTGTTTCCCAGCTTGAGTGGTTGATGATGGTTACCATTTTTCAGCAGCCCAATTTTAACCATTTTCTTCGTGGATTGATTGGCATTCAGGACATGGGGCCAAATGAGAGTGGCACTTCCGTTTTTTTGGTGGAACTCCTTGGCCCCTCCAATTTTCCAGAGCCTCATCAGCAAGGATGCCAGCAGTTGAGTCAGAGTCTGCAGAAGGTAAACGTTCATTAGGTGTGAAGATCTACCTAAAAAAGTGTACTTGTCATAACTTAATAATACTTATAATAATAATACTATCTTCTAGATACTCTTGAGTTTTGATTTTGGGTATCTACATTCTTCTGTTATTGAAATGATAACATAGTTTTATATTGAATTTTCCAGACACTCAAAACCCATATACAAATGGTAGCACAGCTACCCGGGGATATACAGGGATATAGCCCTATGTTCCTTTATTATTTGTTACCTTGTAAATGTTAAATGTAATGTTATTATTTTTATGTCGGGGTGGGCACTTATAAGCCTTTGGTTTCAGCCCACTCCCTTTGAGCAGGTTAACTGCTCAAACAAATAAATAAACTAAACTAAACTGATGGAATCCATGACAGCAAACGGTGCTATTTTTCTGGGTTTTGTCACTTGAAGTAATGAGTTGCTCAAGAATATTTGCTTTAACATATAGCTCAAATTGAAACAAAAAGGTGGTTGTGATAAAACCACCCCTGATTTATCATTATAGTATACTGTATGTAACTGAGTGTTTTTATTACCAACCTTTTGACTTTTTTTTCCTCCCAGTGCCTTTGACATCGGCAGTTGTTGACGCTGTTTTAGTGGTTTCCTCTCTCTGCACACTCCACACTCTGCAGTGTTTTTTGACGCGCAAATCCTCATTTTACCTTCAATGAAGGTAAGGTGACGAGCAACGAAGCGGTCCACTCGAAGAGGCAACTTTTCATGCTTGAAAAGCCCATGTTTTATATTCTTGAACTCCACTTCAACTGAGGCAGAACTGGCTGTGATGCCTGAACCAGGGAAGTAAGGAGTCAGTACTGCACTCCAGAGAGGTAAACTACTTGCTAGTCGTTTTATGTGGGGAATAATATCAGGGAGGAAGTGAATGTTATCACGATCACCTTTGCTTGTTGCGAAGGATTGGCTCTCTTCATAGATATCTTCTACCCACTGCTTCAAGTCTGTGTCAAGATCACTTGGATGCTCAAGATCAGGATGAGGACTACTTTCTTCATGTGGCATCTCAATGGTCTCTTCTGATATTTGGGCCTTTAGGTACGTTTTGAAGCCCTCTGAGGTGACTGGAAGTCCTTCATCATGGCCCTCTCCTTCACTGAGTGCCACCACCATGATGGCACGTAAGAGGCCTCTTGCATGCTCCAAAGATTGTGATTTTATTACCTTTGCAAGAGATCTTACAAAGAAATCCTTGACACGATGGGCCTTCTTTCTGAGGCACTCCCACTGGCAGATAAGCTTGATGCAGTGTGCCACATCCACTCGGATGTAACAATGAGGGAGTTTCGCTGCCGGGTTGCCAATCATGACATTGAAACATTCATTGAGGTATGTTTTCAAATCCGGGTGTGGTGTGAAAGACCTCACTAATGCACCAAGAATGGCCAGGGAAAAATCACATACCACCTCTTTTGGCACAGGTGCTCCAGCACGAATCCATTCTGTCAGCCAGTGTGAGATGGCATTCACATCATGGCGCTCTGACAACATTTGCACTACTGAGGCACTGCAGTTCATCTGGTCTCTCAATACTCCCTGATAGAGAAAAATATGACCAGATGTACTATTTGGACGTGCAAGTTTTCTCACTACAGATCCAGTTGCATCAACACAGATTGTTGAGTGACACCTCTGTGACAAGGTTTTGCAAATGTGTATTTGTGTTTGGCTCCAGTAATGGCAAAAAAACTTATCTAGACCAATGTCTTTAATGCTGCCACAGTGTGGAGAACTGTGTTTTAAGAGTTGTAATGACAATAGAGGGTCTTTATGCGGCAACTCTTGTGAATTCCTCTCTTGTTTTGCTTTTCGTAGGGTCGCCAATTTGGGCAAATGGCTGGGCTCAGGGTCTCCAAAATCCATTAGCTTTGTTGCTTGCTGTGCCCTCCACACATGAGGTTCGGACTTTCCTTCACAAAGTGCGCTAGCAACATCCTTGCGCGCTGCTCCAGACAGAGGACGCTTTGCACACCCTGTGTGGAGCGAGGAAAGGATGTTTTTAAGGAGACACTGGAAGACAATTGGGCTTTGAACTGGTGGCTCTTTCAGACATTGGGCCTGGAGCTTACCTCCACATTCCTTGCAGTAGCCTTGAATGTCTATGTATTTACTTTTTCCATCCATCCATCCATCCATTTTCTACCCTTTAATCCATTTCTGGGTCAGGGGGGTGGCAGTCAGAGATGCCACCCAAGTCTCATAGCACCAGCCCCTCACTGATCCTCTGCAGGTGGTGAGTCCACAGGAGGACGGCTGCTCTCTGAGTGTGAGCATAGCCTTGATCTTTCAGTGGGGGTGTCTTGCCCAAGGACACAACGGCAGCAGTCATCAGTGGGAGTCGGTGGAGAAGGTGCAGAGGTGGGAATTGAACCCACGACCTTCTGGGCTTAAGGCCCACTTGCCCTTTTAAATACAAAGGTACGGGT